CCAGAGTGAAAGGAAGAGGAGGGGCTTGCAAGAAGCGCTGTCAGATTAGAAATCCTCTGGTGTGATTCAATGGAGAAGCGCCCACGGTCCCGGGAGCTCTGATGTTGTGTCCTGGTAGCTTGCCTTGGCCTGCATTTGTGTCTCACGGCCGAGGCCGACAAAACGTCGACGGCGTACCGTACCACTAGATGGGCAACAAGAGCCAGCCACGCTGCTGGCTAAGACATCTGGGAACACTCTTGCCCGCGGAGACCTTTCCTCTCTTTCAAACGATGAGTTTCTTTTTCTCATACAGTGGGGGTCGAGCGGTATGGTTCACTAGAAACACAGCCTCCAGAGCAGGAGAAAAGGGAATAGAAAACTTCGATATCGTGCGCCGTTTCCTCCGCTAAGAATGCTTGCCATACTTTTCTTTCCTTTCTTTTCTTTCTTCTCCCACGTGCTGACACCTTACGAAACAAGGTTACATCTAGACGACATGGGCTAATGGGGGATCTAACGAGGGCCAGAGCTCGATGGTGCACAAAGGGGCCATGGGAACAAACGTGGTTGGCGAGGAACGGCACGGCAGTTGGGGGCGGCGGCGGGGGGCTCCAATATCACTAGCGAAGTGAAGCAACCCCCGAAAAGTAGATGTGGCTTGCGGAAGATCGCAAAAAATAAGAAAGCCACTTGGGCGGGCGAAGGATGCCATCATCCCAAGTCTGTGCAAGCCCGTGCTTCATTAAAGGGTTGGTGGTTCGTCTCTTCAAATAGTCTTCTTGGTTCTGTAGCCTTGTATAATGGAAACAAAAACTCTTGTGCGACGTTGGAGAGACGAAAGCCGCATGTCGAAAATAGCTCCCATGATTATTGCCGTGTTCCACAGGAATTGGGGAAAAATGACAAGAAAGAGAACTTCGCGGCGGGGGGAAAAAGAGTCACTGTTTGCCAATCCCCTTTCATCTCATCTATGACGACAGTTGAGGCGGGCAGGTTCAATTTGAATTGATAGACCAGGGTTTGTTGTTGTTGAGATGAACTACCTACAGTAGCTCCGGATTACCCATGTCGAAACACAGTCTTTGTCCTGCAGTCTAGAAAAGAGGTCGGTTGTGACGGAAAAAGGGCTTTGCGTATCCGTAGCATTTCTCCCCAGTCCCAAAGAAACGAGAGAGAGACGAATGGGATCAGAAGCAGGGCATCCGGATGTAGTACGAGTCCCCGGCGCTGGGATGGAAGAGGAAAAGAGACAGAGAGCTGTGCGTGAGGTTGAGGTTGAGGCGTGAGTGTGAAGTTCGAGAATGCCGAGCCATCATCGTCATCGGGCGGGCCCTCGTGTGGGGCCGTGCTTCGCTGATCACCCGGGAAGAAACACCAGCAGCAGCCTCTCATGCCTCTGTAATACAAATCACCTCAGTCGCCAAGCGAGGCCGGTCGACATGGGGGGGCCTTTTCGCAGACGAGGTGGGCTAGTGGGTTACAGCGCAGCCCGCCATGATATGCCTCTCGATCACATCTTTCTCTTCACCTTCCCAGCGAGTAAGGTGAGTTCTGCGAGTTTCCGGGCTTGAGGCCCATTCACCTGGGGCCCTTTGCAGGCGGACAGGCTCAAGGTGCACCACAAATGTGCATTCTTTTGCATGGAACCTGCCTCTTTTTTTTTTTTTTTTTTTTTTTTTTTTTTTTTTTTTTCCAATTCCCTCGCGGGGAGAAATGAGACGATGACTTTCCAGGACCCTTTCCGCTGTCACAGAAAGACGAGACGATTCAGCACTTATCGGCGAGGCGGAAGCGAGTGCGGGAAGATCAGACACGGGAGAAGGCCTTCACGGGTTGCCTTGTGCGACCAAGGGAGTAAATCAGTCATCTCTGAAGACTCCCCGTACTGTCCGAAGTTCTAAACCCATGGTTTGTTGCTGATGGAGCAAATCCCGAGGTCCCCCGCCCACTCTCCGTCATCTGTTCATCATGAGGGAAAGCTCTCCGTCCAATAATCGGGAAATCGGGTTTTCAGCTAGCATGGCATTCTCATGGCTTGCAAAACGAGAGCAGAACGAAAGTACACAAGTCCAAAAGTCTGAACAAAGAGACAAATCCTTGAAACGTGCCCTGTCCGGGTACAGGGGAGCCGCTGCAGGCTATCCGGAGGTATGTCCGGCTCGGAGCCGGGGTGTGTGTGTTGCTGGAGGGCTCCAAAAAGCACGTAACATGGCACGCGACGGTAACACCTTCTCTTGTTGATTATTACTCAGAGCTTCCTACTCTGACGACACGCATTAAGGGTCCATTCTGACCTATCAATTACCGTGGGATGTTAGATGCCTCGGTACCGTGTTGGGCAGTTGGCTTTGCTGTCATCTCGTTCTGCATCAGGCTCTTCCCACATTCGCCGCTGATAGCATTGAGTTTTTCTGAAATTGACTTCTTCTCTTCACACTGCATATACCCACACTGCGTGCGTGTGTGTTCCCTCATGCATCATTATTTATAGCCCTGCCATGCTATCTTCATAAGCACGGTAGAAGTTAAAGATTCAATCAGCCTACCTGAGAATTTCTGACCATCACTGAATTCACAGGCAGCGTCGATGCCCCACAGCATTGTGTTTTCTTCTTCTGTGAAAGAGAAACAACATGATCTTCGTAGCGTTGCAGCTAGATGCAGATTCTACAAAAAACCAGACCCCAGCCGTTTCTAAAAACACACAGAGAAAGCAATTCGCCAGGTGAGTGACAGGTTAAATAGGCAGGCAGAATGTACCGCCGTTGAGCATCCACCACTCGTTTAGCCACGATTCCCACAAGGCCGGTTCGCTTCGTGTATCTTGGGGAGGAACCTGCTCCATTCCTCTACTGAGCCGACGGCCGGATTCCCGAGGCCTGTGGACCTTGTACCTGTCAAAGGCAATGGAATCTGCAAGTTGATTTCAAATCATGGAGAATCCAGCAAGACCCTCTCTCGTGCCTCTTAAACATTGTACGGGGGATCAAAGTAATCGAGGCATTTGCATTGGTCGAGCAGGACCAGCAGATCGATCTCATACTGGGCCCAAGCCGAGCTCGGGACAGCAAGCCATTTGTCTCACATTCTTTTCTTTTAGCTTCAACGGTTGCGAAGCCGTCGTCCCCCTCCACGCATTTGCCCTCCTTCATAGACGATTTAAGAATGAGAGGGAACGCGGTTCTATTTAGACCTTGTCTTTTTCGCAATCAACCTGTCATATGATATGCCCCTCGTGACAGAGGTGTAGCTATACGAACTCGCCATACTTGAGCCATTGTACACGAACATGAAGACTAAGAGTGTGGCTTCTCAAGATCTCAGAGCTCAAGGTTGAGAATTACAGCGTAACACTGCTATATGCAGATGTCTTGTCGCGGAAAAAGGCGGACATGCACATTTCAGCCTTTGCACAGCACTTGCGTAGCACACATTGCACACTTTGGATTGACACATGAGAACTGGCTCGTATTGGTGGGGTCTTGGTTGAAGTTCATTGCTTTTGGTGTAAATGAGATCCTAGCTCAATGGCATCCTCTGGTATCGGCCATGGCTAACCCAAGTTGTTCCCCCAAACGCCAAATGTCCCACGCCCCTCATCTTTTTTATTCTTCCATCAAAACTTTTTGGTTTTCCCAACGCTTAGTAGAAGAAGCCGATGACCTTGCCGGCAACGTGCTTGCGACGGGCCTCCTCGTGGTCCATGATACCAGCAGAGGTGGTGAGGATGACGTAGCCGAACTGACGGGCAGGGAGCAGCTTGACAACCCACTTCTCGAGGTCGGAGAGACGGACGTTGTAGCGGGGGGAGATGACACCGCACTTGTTGAGGCGGCCGTTGAGCTGGACAACGATCTTGCCGGAGCGGTGGTCATCGACCTCCTCGAAGCTAGAGATGTAACCTGTATTGTTGCTGTTTAGCGATGGTGTCGCGGTGGTTTAAAGCTTAGACATCAGGAGAAAAAATCCGAAAAAGTTGTAAGACCTCCGCTATTTATCTATCGGCATCTTATAGGGGCTGAGTCGTGGGAATAGAAGACGGTCGCCCTAGTTATCATGCCGAATGTACATCCATCCAAAAATGTCCTCCGAGTTGAAAAAAGAAAGGAGAAAGAAGATTGTGTTGTGTTGACATACCGTGGCGCTGCATGACCTGGAGGAACTTGACGATGACCTTGGAGCTGGGGCGGATGAGCACCTGGCGCTTGCCGGCCTTCTCGGCGTTGTTCATGCTCTTGAGAGCATCGTGGAGAACGGAAGTGCGGACCATCTTGGCGGTTGATGTATGCGGAGATTCTCAAGTCTCGGGAAATGAGGTATCTGCCAGCGAAGAAAATTGCATGTTAGCCTTCCAATGGCCTGTTGAGCGTGGAGAGTGCCCTCCCAGGCGACAATCGACCGACAGGAGGGTTCCGCCAGCTCGTTGCTGAAGAGGAGAGCGTATCAGATGTCATCGTCGTTCGGCGTCGGGTAGCCGCCAGCCAAGGGGGCTACCGCATCGTCCGTCAAGGCGAAGATGGAGGTCGAAAAAAAAATATCAAATCGGTATCTCGTAGATCGCACGACTCGTCTGATTGCTCTCCTCCGGCATCAAGGAAAAGGCAAGAAGTTCCTGTTGAATCAAGTCGCCATCACGGGCGAACAAGGTGATTTGTGCCTTGTTTCGACTTACCTCGTGGATTGAACGGTGCCGCTGAAGGGGTTGATTGACAAGTTTGTCGGTGAGAAGATCGTGATGGAAGACTGGGGGCGCAGAAAAGTCCAAAAGGCTGTGGGAGGAATCCCGACACTGCAACGAAAAAAATTGGTCGCTTGTGGGTGCACGGACCACCCACAATTTCTAACCCTCGAAAGGGCACGGGCGAAGTGACCCTTCCACGAATGATCTTTCAGCGCATTTTCTGCTTGTGCCCTCGCATCACGCCAAAAGTTCACTTTATTCATACACTACCCAAATTACAACACAACATAACTCTTCGAGGATCGAACCGACAGGAACTTGACCAACAACTTTCAAGATGGTGAGTTCACACCGAGAACCCCTCCCCAACATGGCCCCCCTCGAATGACGGACGTCTCCCGGCTGCCCGCGAATGCCTTCAGTTGGGATTATCCGGGTGCTTGGAAATTGTCGCGTGCGCGCAGGCCAATTGGGCTCATCCCACTCTGTGGGGATAACGACGACGACGATGACGACTTGAACCTCGGAGGGACACACTTTGGCTAACCATTGCCCTTGCGCATCGTACAGTCGGACGTAGAAGAGAACAACGCCCCCGAGGTGGCCGAGGAGGTCGAGGTTTCCGCCGATGCCGGCTCCAAGGGCCAGATGTCCGTTCTTGACGCCCTCAAGGGTGTCCTGAAGCTCGCCCTCATGCACGACGGTCTTGCCCGCGGTCTCCGTGAGGCTTCCAAGGCCCTCGACCGCCGCCAGGCCCACATGTGCGTCCTCAACGAGGCTTGCGAGGAGGAGGCCTACAAGAAGCTTGTCATCGCTCTCTGCTCCGAGCACAAGATCCCCCTGATCAAGGTGCCCGACGGAAAGCAGCTCGGCGAGTGGGCTGGTCTTTGTGAGTACACCTATGGCATATGTTGCCATATATCCGTATCGAGAGACGAATTACAGCTAACATATACTCCACAGGCGTGTTGGACCGTGAGGGTAACGCCCGCAAGGTCGTCAACTGCTCTTGCGTCGTCGTCAAGGACTGGGGTGAAGAGTCCCAGGAGCGCTCCATCCTTCTCAACTACTTCCAGACCGAGCAGTAAATTTGGGTATGACTTCATGATTTGAATTTGGGCGTCACTATGGGGAGAAGGATTTTTAGAGGGGTGGCGGGGAAATCTGGAACCGTCGCTATGAACGATCTTTCGGTTGTACTCTAGCTTCTTCAGCTGGCATCTCGAAACAAAAAATGGAGGACTCCCTCTGGAGGTCAGGTCAACATGCATCAAGGACAAATAAAGAGAAACGGCATTGGGCACTCTTGAACCAAACAGATGTGTGCAATATTGATATTGTGAGGCGATTGACGAGAACGTAGCGGGGTCTGCCTATTTCCTTCCTTCAACCTGTGTGCACGAGTCAGTACAAATCTGGCTTGAGCTGTGGTGTAATTGAGTCCTACCATGATGATGTGGTATCCAAACTCCGTCTTGGCCTCTCCGTAGACGGGGCTCGCCGTTGTACTAGCGCTCAGAGCAAACGCAACGTCCTCGAACTTTGGGTCCAGGCTTCCCTTTGTCTTCCAGCCCAGAGCACCACCTGTGAACCAATCAGCATGGGCCCTCGCCCTCGATGAAGCTGCGCGCGATGGGCATCACTCACCTTGTCTTGCCTTGTCCTCAGAGAACTCCCTCGCCACCTCATCAAACTTGGTTCCGTCTCTCAGCTTAGCCAATGCCTCCTCCTTCTTGGCATGCTTCTCACACTGATTTTTACTGTCAGCTACTAAAGTCCCAAGAAAAATCCCACAACCAGAGAAGACGATGCTCACCAAGATGTGCCGGACATTGATGGACTGCGCGCCCTTGGCCGCCTTGCCGCCCTTGTCGTCGCTCTCACCCTTGGCACCCTTCTTCCCTCCGGCAGACTTGCCCCCGTCCTTCTTTTCGGCCGGCTTCTTGTCGTTTTTGCCCATCTTGAGGTAGCTGCGGGGTGCTGTGTAGGCGTGATGCGGACGATGAAATTTGGACTGGAGGGGTTGGATAGTGGGGGAATCGACCATGGCAGCAACCCCCACCATGAAAAGACTCTGTCAACGGCGGCTGCGACCAATGGAGTGCGGGGAAGCCAACTTCAACACCACGTCTGATCATCCGGCAGCATCTTAACTTCGCCCAGAGTGGAAATTCCGCGGCTTTTCACGAATTTTTTTGCTTCATGTCGTTTGATTGAACTCACTATTCTTTCCCATGCCATTACCTAGATTTTGAATGACCAAAACCATGGATTAGTTGACGGTCGCCCTCGTCAAGCACTGTTTTCTCAGAGCTTACATGGTAAAGGTTCACAGCTGATTCTCAAATTTGTAACCAGAGACGACATCTCAGCCACATGAATGAACTACCTTCATTTCGTCATGATGGAATAGGCTTGTCTAACTTCGTCCTACAAGTCAGTACTCGCCATTCCGCAGTGAGTGGTGAGGAGGGCAGGTGTCTACGCGAGGCATCGATACTCTATTTCAATGAAGAGAAACTGAGAAACAACCTTACTCGAATCAGTAGTACGTTTAATGTTTGAAGTGTGAGCTAAGGTGTACTCAGGCCACGCACCAAAATTTTGCAGATTCGGCAACGCCTCGATCATCATCTTGAATGACATTTTGAAAAGTCTAGTAGATGGAAATTCTTTTCTACGGGTATCAATACACTACTCTCTCATGGCCTCTACAGCTTGTCCAATCAACTCGAGAAAGGCACCCTCCTCGATCCGGATATCGGCCCAGTGCCACCGGTCTCGTCGCACAAGACCTCTCTTCCGGCCCTTGTCATCATCCTCGTGACCTACCATCTCGGCGTGGGTGCTAAAGTACTTGTGGCCCAACATCTGCGCCACATTCCTGAATCCCTTGTGAGACATGCTAGACGGTTGTATCTCAACGACCGCGGCGCCGTCCTCCCGGAGGAACATGGTGTGCGTCAGTCCCGCGCCGTGGACGCCTACCAGGATATCGGTGGACTGTATGATTCGAAGCTGCTCGGAGAAGTTCACCGATCCCAAGTCGATTGCCTGGAAGTTGGCGTCGGGGAACGCTTCCCGTGCTGCGTCTACTAGGACGTCCTGGTCCAGGAGCTTGCGAGAGCCCCGTCGATCGATGAGGGTGACGTTGAGTAGCTTGCCTTGTCGCCGCCCCGTCTCAAATTCGACGCCAAATTGCTGCATCACTCGTCGCGTAAAGACCTTCAGTAGCGGCGCGTCCTTGCAGTCTCTATCCTCCCAATCATTCTGCCATAGAGGATTGCTCCCTCCGGCAAGGGGGACAATAATGTTCTGAGGCGTCTCGGCGAGGGCTTGGGATTGCGCTGGGTCTTCCAAGACCTTGCTGAGGCGAAGTGGCTCACGACCTGCAAACATTCCCCACAATGGGTATAGGGGTCCTTCTTCTTGGTTGTCCAAGAAGACTACCTGGGTTCGTGGGACGTCTCCGGGGATGGTAAAGAAAGGTTTGTTGAGATCGCCGCCCTCGCGACTGAGCCGCAAGACGTCGAGGGACATAACCATTGACCATATCTCCATGAGAGAGTGCCAGATGTTGGAATGGCCTTCCCTCTTCACGAGAATTGTGAACGGACGGCTCTCGAGGGAGCTTGGCGCTTGTGTGACTGAGGATGGCGAAGCCCCAGCTTTGACGTTGACGAAGTTCTGGAATAGGAAACCCGGACCGGTATCGTACCAGTAGTTTCTGATATTTGAGAAGGGAATGATTCCATATGATGATTCGTTACCGGTAGGTTTCCGCACAGCGCAATCGAGGTTGAAGGTACCGCTTTCACGGTCCAGTACGGCGCCCTGGCCGATACAAAACGAGTCGCGGTTGTCGTTGGATTGTGTATGACTGTGGAAACACGTCAGGTTTGCGCTTGAATCTGCCGAGCAGTACTGAATCCTTTGGTCGCGAAGTTCGTTCAGGTATCGAGGGCCGAAGCGTTTGGCGCAGAACTCCGACTCTGGCAGGTCCGGCTTACTCAACGTCGCGAGTTCCGGTAAAGAAGTCGGAATCTCGTCCGCCGCCGGACTCGGTGTATGGTGAAATTGGTTTCGTAGAAATGAAATCCTGTCGCCCGTTTGGGTAGATTTCGACGGTAATACCTGAAGGTGAAGAAGAATCATGACAAGCGCTGCTGCCGCCGCCGCCCCGGCACGCTTGCCCTTCGGCACAAGACGCGAACGCATGGTCAATAGGTAATAGAATAGTCCATAGGAATTCGGATGCCGAAGGGTGTTAGGTTGATACTTGGTGCTGGGCATGGAGGATCTGGAAGAGGTCGAGAATCAAAACGTGACGTTAGTCCAGCGGGTGGTGAGGAGGGAATGGCTCATAGATTCGTCTACTGACAAGTAGACAAACCAGCAGAACCAACATGGCAGGAGAATGAGCTGAACTCCTGGCTGCGAGGAAGAATACTCAGAGCTCCATGGCCCCCATTCGCATGAACTACCAGCATGCTTGGCCCTGTAAGCAAGCAAGCCAACAAACAATGAATACTCAGGGGCGGACGGACGACAAGAAAGGTACGCTCTTCCCGCGCGGCCACGGTAGCCGACCAGCTTTCGGTAGACAATATGTGTGACTTGTTTGCTCCCCACTCAGGTGCGTCTATCAGGCGTTTCTTCCATTCGCATAGCCGCTGATAGCTTTTTAGTTTGACGTTGTTTGCTTGGTATGCGGCCCCCCGGTCTCCAACAGGGGGCGGTTATGAGGTCTCACAAGGTTCAGGGTCGTCTTTATATCCGTATGGGTTGTCTTGGGCCGAAAATTAAGGTGTGTTGCATTGGTGAGTGATCTTTGGCCGTTCCAACGGCGAGAGTGGAGCTCTTTCGTGGTGGTGTTGCCGCCGAACAAACCAACCAACATACTTCCAACATACGTCCAACATGATCTTTTCCCCAGGCACTTTTCCCTTTCCAAAGCCCATCTGCTCTAGTATTCTCTTAAAACCCCCAGGTTGTCAACTTTTCGCCCAAATTGTTATTTTGCAGCGACCGAGCAGGCTTTTTCGGACTCATTCTTTGGCTCCCTGATTAAGCTGGGAATTGTCTTGGTCTTGCACCATTTTCTTTCAATATAACATACCCATTTCTTATACTGCACAGTCCAGTGATCAATAAGCTTTGAGACATTGTTTGCAGAGTAGCATCCCGCCGGATCTAGCCAGGATTTATGTGACATGATGTGATGAGGATGTGTTAGTTACCTTTGGGGAGGCCAGGGGATGCGCAGGCCAATGACAGATCAGTTTTCTTTGCTGTGTATCCATAGGGGCCCGTTATATCTGAACATGATTCTTTGGTGGAAATGGCCGCAAATCTGCGGACTTTTGAACAGTGTCAAGCACTTATTGTGCTCCCAAGTACGTTCGTGCCGTTGACGAAATTCAAACTCGGTTTTGTCAAAGTGATGAAAACGAAGATATGGTTCAGGCAAGATGGTGTTGCATTGACATAGGACTGGATCTATGTAGGTCTAACATGACTTTCCTGACGGAAAAGTCCCCATACTTCAAAGACTAAGTTCTGCTCGAAGTTCGCAATTGAACTATATTGATGATTTCAGCCGTGTTGTCTGGATTGTGAACAGCTTTGGGTATGAAAAGTACCGGATTCAGGGGCCGGGATACGTCTATATACACTTCATCGTTTCTTCACCAATGCCAAACTGATGGTGTTAGACTGTGGACCTTGCTCATTGAGTCGCTGAGCAGCTCTACACGGCCCATGAAGCTGTGAGCTCGTATCTTGGACCGGCATTGTCATAAGCAAGCAACAAGCAGCGATGAAAAAAGGGCAGCGCAACAAAAGTCGGGTCGCCTCCCTGTTCCGAACCACGTCTCGGAAGGCTCTGTGGCTTCGCAGCCATATTTCGGAGTGAGCGGAGGAAATATTCTCCCTGTTGTTTACCATCACCACCTTGGCTCGATGGGGCACTAAGGAGGTCAATTTATGATCTGCTTGTTTCTCGCTATCGACCAACGACTCGTGTAGTTGGACGGTCATGTTATATATGGAGGCTACGGCCGAGCAAAAGTATCTGGAAATAGATGCACCCAGCCCCTGACGCCCACATTGCTCAATGCAAGTCGCAACTCGTGGTGACGGTCACGGATCTGACCATGAACTTCGAGAATGGTACAGACGTCAACATTTTCCCGTCAAAGTCGAGCGCCATCTCCACCTGCATCAAACCAATACTTCCGGTAATGATAAGGATGACTCTGGATCCTTACTTCCATAACTTCCTTGACTGCAGGGACAATAGCATTGAGAACATGACTCGCTCCCTCGGGTATCACTACTGGAACCTGAAATATCTTCCCAACCAAAAGCCGTATGCCCCCCCCCCCTCCCCCCCCACCCTTTCCTCAGTTGTGTACACCCCTCCAAGCGACTCGGGTCGACTATTCACTTCAGCATGCTGACAGAACTTACGACCATAGATACGACGGTGCTCTGACAATTACACTCTCATTCGGTTTAAAAATCCGTGTGGACCGCGACAACCTCGTTCTACCACACGTATTACTCGACGAGCAAACAGGGGAGATGCTCGTCAATGCAACAGAGAAGGACATGCTCATCAACTCAATGCAGGATGTCAACAAGAATGACATGGCGCAGCTCGGCTGGCAGTTCCTCTCCGCCGCCTACCTTCAAGTCAACCACGACACGTCCGAGTTCTCGCTCTGGCAGGCAAACCCCACATGGAGCCAAGATATCGTGGCTCTAGACTCCAGCAACAACGACGTCACCGACTTCTGTTCTTCCCAGTCTAGCGACGGCAACAAGACCGTGAACGGCGGTGGAGACGTAGGTGGCAGCGGGGAGGGCAGCGGGAACGACTCGTCGGCAAGCACAAGCTCTCCCGGTCTCTCACGCGGGGCTATCTCCGTAATTGCCGTTGGCGGAGCCGCAGTTCTATCACTCATAATCGGAGCTGTAGTATGGTTTCTAAAGAGAAAGAAGTCGAGGGCCCCTTCAATACCCTCGCCGGGCGTGGGGCAGAACACATCATGGCTGTCAGAGCCTCCGGGCCAAGACCTCCCCCCAAAGACACCATCAACGTGCGAACTGGATAATGGAGATACTCCAACCTTCCGGCGGTATGAGATGGCGGGCTAGATAGTAATGAGGGCCGACACAGTGGTGCCAGAAGTAATGTTACATATGGATGACGTTCGAAGGGGGGCTGCTTTTCTTTTTCAGCTGTAGAATCTATCTTGTGTTATACCTCATGGACACTCTATCCTTCTCTTATGCTCGAGTGTGTCTCTTCAAGTGAGCCAAATCGGTATATCATCCTCGGCGACGACCAGTACTTGGTGCTGTGCGGAGTATTTCTATGTTTCTGGTGTTTCGGTTGTGAAGACATCGTTGTTCTGCGAGGTTAGTTGAGTACGAGGCGCACGGGCCTTGTAAGTGGTGTACTTATAACTGAGTGATTATGAAGTCTGGCATTTGTAATCCCACTGAAAAGTGGGCGGAAAAGAAACAAGTCAATTCGCAGTAACTTGGAAGACTGAAGATTGGATTGATGTCTAAACAAGGTTGGCTATTCTTGTCTTGCAAGGCGGCCTAGGATCTATTCCGATTCGGGGAAAAGGGATCACTATCCCACGGCAAACTCACGATTTGTCATAGATCTTCAAAACCCCCTCTCAATTACTTTGTAAGCAAAAATGCCATTTAGCTTATCAAACACAGCTGAACAATGTTAGTCCTTCCTCGGAGCCAATTTGTCCGTCCGTGTCTTAAGTTTCAGTGAATGCGGGGTTCGCGGCAGGCAGACCGTAGCACCGGAAACAGCTTCCAAGTTGAGTGCAAGCTAAGCGCAACGTAACTCCTAGGGTTTCCTACCTACTCATAAAAGAGCTTGCCAGAGTCCCTCTTGCCACCGATCTGAAGATAACTGGTCAGATTAACTGCAAATAACGACCGAGACGTGGAATTTCAGTAGACATCAATTATTGTTTAGTTGTATCCAATCTAGTTGACAACCATCCCAACAAATCTCCACAAAAAGCCGCACCAACAAAACCAAAATGGCATCTGAGAAGCTTCAACCGATCAGGGTCTGGACGTCCAAGAATGGCCCGAACCCGTGGAAAGTTCACTTCGTCCTCGAGGAGCTTGGGATCCCCTACGAAGAAAAGTACATTGACTTCCCCGACATGAAGAAGCCGCCTTTTGAAGCGATCAACATCAACGGGCGCGTACCCGCCATCGAGGACGACAACACGGGCATCACGTTGTGGGAGTCCGGTGCTATCCTCGAGTACCTCGTCGAGACGTACGACAAGGAGAAGAGGTCAATCAGCTTTGAGCCGGGCACGGCCGACTACTTCCACGCCAAGCAGTGGCTGCACTTCCAAATGTCCGGTCAGGGCCCGTACTTTGGCCAGGCCATCTGGTTCCACCGCTACCACTCCGAAGACGTGCGGAGCGCCAAAGACCGGTACATCAAGGAGATTCGGAGGGTTTCCTGGGTGCTGGACCGAGCTCTCGAGGGACGCGAGTTCCTGGTGGGCGACAAATACTCGTATGCGGATATTGCCTTTATCCCCTGGTTCAATGTCGCATTCTACCCGTGGTACAACATGAAGGTTCCTGGTGCTTTTGCGGACCAGATCGATTTTGCAAAGGAGTTCCCGAACACGGCCGCATGGATGGATAGGCTCAGAGCTCAGCCTATCATTGCGGAGACCTTGAAGAAGAGAGCGGCAACTCTGTAAAAGAAGAAAAAAGTTAGAAAGTTATCCGTTACTGGAGTCAAATGAGAAAAGCAAGTCAGTGTTTGAGTGAGCGCGTATAAGAGCAAATGCGTTGTGACGTGCTGCACATTACGACATAGAGACATCTCGGTCCGAGGCCCCCACTATTTGCGGAAGAGCCAGCCGGGCCCGCCTCCGGGCCGCTTTTTGTCAGCCCAAACAAGCCCGAGATCGACCCGGACGGGCGACTCTCGTTCAGATCTCTCAGCGGCTCGTCCGAGAAGCCGGACAAAAGCCCGCTTTCATCTCGCCTTCCCATTGTTTGCGATCTCTGTATCCGTCTCTCGTCCGCTACAGTGGGGAAGCGAGAGCACAACGGCCCAGAAGAACGAGGTTGGCAGGTGCCATTGTACCCGCAGCAGTAAACGTAATTGGAGGAGACGGGAGCGGGCGGGGGACAAATACCGCTCGGAGCCGATTGCAACCTTGAGATCATTGATGTGTGTCTTGCTTCAGACTGGTATACTTGCCTTTTCCGGACGAGTGGGAACAGGACAGTACACTTGCGTTTTGGCACATGGCAAATCAGCGTCGATGCAAAGTCGATTATTCGCGGCTCGCGTCCTCGCGCGTTGAAAAAAGAGTGGAATTTCTGGGGCTACCTGCAACCTGCAGCTCACGAACGATGAAGTTTGAACACCCTACCTACGCGCACACAGGCACGTATCGGACCCAATCTCTGTGTAAAACCGAGATCTCCGAGTGCTGGAATTTTCTTCTTAGCTCGGCACCAAGGAGCTCAGTGTTATCTCTGGGAAAAGTTGCCTCACCGTCATTGATGGAGCTTTCTATCGTTAGCCTTGTGGGAATAACCCGGGAGCTAGTACGATGCAAAGCGGGAGAGAGAGAGAGAGGCAACTTCCCTGTCGCACCTGGTATGAAGTCACGTATCAGTCTTGCTAATCCTCAATGACTCAATGTCGTAACTTACTCGGTGTTTCTTCCGCTGCCGTCTGTTACAGTCCCAACTCTAAAGAGACATCACACCCATATCAGTCGAAGTCCGATATCCAGGAAGTATGTTCCCTTGGCGCTCTACTAGGTATACCTGAGGAGAAACCTATTGGGAAACAGGATGCAATCTTTTCTACAACGCCGGCGCGCGGGCGTTGAAGCCCAAGCGCAAATCGACAGAGACATTGGAAAAGCACAGTCCTCAACAGCGCCAAGCAGGCGGCACGACGACACAGGCAGGGATCTCGAGAACCAATCTTCTTCGTCACAGGAGGAAGAGAAGCGAGCAAGTCCACTTCTGGAATCACCAGGCGGCACTGCCATCACCAAACCCGAAAGCAACGAGCACCGGAATCATGACGGGGAGTACGATGCCGCCGGTACGACCGTCGAACGGAGTCGGACAGCACGGACAGGACATTCCGAAGGCACGGCCCTCGGCCGCGTCCTAACCGGCATCCACGTCCGGGACCGGACCGGCGAAGAAGGTCACGGCGGCCGTGTCTTCGTCGTCGGCTGGGCGGGGCCGGACGACCCCCTGGACCCGCACAACTGGCCCACGGCGAAGCGCATCGGCGTGACGCTGCAAATCTCCCTCATCGCCCTCTTCGTCGGCTCCGCGTCCGGCATCGACGCCACGGTGCTCCCGCAGGCCGCGCAGGATCTCGGCGTCAGCCAGGTCGCCGAGTCGCTCGCCACGGGCCTCTACCTTGTCGGCATGGGCCTGGGCTCCCTCATCGCAGGGCCCTTTTCAGAAACCTTTGGTCGTAACGCCGTGTACGCGGCTTCCATGGCCGTCTTCATGATCTGGATCATGGCGTCCGGCCTGGCGCCCAACTTTGGCGCGCAAATCGTGTTCCGGTTCCTGGCGGGATGCTCCGCCTCGACGCCCCTCGTCTGCTCCGGCGGTTCCATCGCAGACATGTACAACCGCCTCGAAAAGACGTGGAGTTTCCCCTTGTACGCGATAACGTGCTTCGGCGGCCCCATGATCGGCGCCGTCATGGGCGCCTACATCGGGCCTTCCAACGCCGTGAGCTGGCGCTGGGTAGAGTGGACGACCCTCATCTCCTCCGGGCTCGTGCTGGTGCTTGTCCTGCTCTTCATGCCCGAGACGTACGGCCCGCTGCTCCTGCAGTGGAAGGCCGCACACTACCGTCGCATCACGGGCGATGACCGCTTCCGCTCCGAGCACGAGATTGTCGATGCCACGCTCTTCAGCCGTCTCAAGACGAGCATGACAAGGCCGTTCCTCATGCTGACGGAGCCCATCATCATCGCCATGACGCTGTACATCACCGTCGTCTACATCGTCCTTTTCACCTTTCTCGTCGGGTGGCCCTACATCTTTGAGTATACCTATGGTCTCGACCAAGGGCTCGCCAACATCATCTTCATCTCCATGTTCGTCGGCACGCAGGTCAATTTCCTCTTTGTGCCCTTCATCTACGCCAAGACAGCGAAACGAGTCAAAAGAGATGGTGGAAAAGCGAGCTTCAAACCGGAGATCCGTCTGTGGTACGCCACCTCCGGCGCGGCCGTCTCCGTCCCCATATCGCTTTTCTGGCTCGGCTGGACAAACTTCGCCAGCATCAGCGTCTGGTCTGTCATCTTCGCGGTCGCTGTGTTTGGGTACGGCGTCACCGGCATCTTCATGTGCGTATACATGTACATAATCGACTCGTACGAGATCTACTCGGCCTCTGCGCTTACCTTCGTCGCGCTCATTAGGTACATGGTTGCGGGCGGCATGACCGTGGTAGGAATCCCCTTTTTTGAGAAGATGGGAACGCACTACACTCTGACTATCCTCGCCTGTATATCGGCCGTGCTTGCGCCGATCCCGTATGTTTTGTATTACTACGGCCACTGGCTTCGAGCCAAGAGCCGCTTTGCGGTGTCAATGTAAAGTAGTATCATGCATATAGATAGCGTCACTTTTCTACCAGATAGCACATTACACTGCACATACCAAGTATGTCTGTCCATTAGTTGCAGGATAGTCTCTATCACTCTACCTAAATTCTGAAATAAACTGAGCCGCAAGCTGGATCTAGCAGATGTGGTGCGCGACCAGGCTGGTGGCCTCCTGTATAGAGAAAGTTGCATCTGTACTTGATCACAACATCGATAGTAGTCTAATGAACCCGAGGGTTGAAGGTTCTTGGATCAACAAGGATCCAGAAGGACACCCCCAAACGAAAATTCTCCGATCCATTTTCTCTCAAAGTCCCTTGAAATGATCAGAAACACCTCGCCATCGCTACCTACTTCCGCTTCTGGCCCTGGCGCCTCACACCAGCCGCTATTCCTCAGCGTATTCCAGAGCCCAGGTGCGATCATTTCCCCTTCATTCAAGTCCACCGGAAAGTACCTTTCTCTGATCGTGTTTTCGGG